ATTTCACCTTACACCCATCAGAATGGCCAAGATGAAAAACTCAAGGGACAACACATGCTGGAGAGGTTGTGGAGAAAGGGGAGCCCTTCTCCACTGCTGGTGGGAATGTTAACTTGTACAACCACTCTGGAAATCAATCTGGCGCTTTCTCAGACAACTAGGAATAGCGCTTCCTCAAGATCCAGCCATACCACTCCTAGGCATATATCCAAAAGAGGCTCAAGTATACAAAAAGGACATTTGCTCAACCATGTTTGTAGCAGCTTTATTTGAAATAGCCAGAAACTGGAAACAGCCCAGATGCCCCTCAACTGAAGAATGGATGCAGAAACTGTGGAACATCTATACAATGGAGTATTACTCAGCAATGAAAAATAAGGAAATCATGAAATTTGCAGGTAAATGGTGGGACCTGGAAAGGATCATCCTGAGTGAGTTGTCCCAGAAGCAAAAAGACACGAATGGTATATACTCACTCATATAAACATACAACATAGAATAAACCCACTAAAATCTGTACATCTAAACAAACTAAGCAAAAGAGAGGACCCTAACTAAAATGTTCAATCCCCATCCTGAAAGGCAAAGAGAATGGACATCAGAAGAAAAAGAAATTAGGAAACAACCTCGGAACCTGCTACAGAGGGCCTCTGAAAGCCAGAAGAAAACAGGAAATAACCTTGGAACCTGCCACAGAGGGCCTCTGAAAGCCTCTGCAGTATAGACTGTCAAAGCAGATGCTGAGCCTGATGGACAACTGATGGGCAGAGTGAATGGAATTTTATGTAAGAAGTGGGAAATAGTAAGAGCTGAAGGGGAGGGAACTCCACAAGCAGAGCAACAGAACAAGATAATTTGAACACAGGGAACTTCCCAGAGACTCATACTCCAACCAAGGACTATTCATGGAGATAACCTAGAACCCCTGCACAGATGTAGCCCATGGCAGTTCAGTGTCCAAGTGGGTTACATAGTAATGGAAAGAGGGACTGCCTCTGACATAATCTGATTGGCCTGCTCTTTGATCACCTCCCCCTGAGGGGGGAGCAGCCTTACCAGGCCACGGTAGAGGACAATGCAGCCACTTTTGATGAGAACTGATAGACTAAGATCAGAAAGGAGAGGAGAACCTCCCCTATCAGTGGACTTGGGGAGTGGCATGCATGCAGAAAGGGGAGGGAGGGTGGGATTGGGAGGGGAGGAGGGAGGGGCTTATCGGGGGATACAAAATGAATAAAGTGTAATTAATAAAATAAAATAAATGCAAAAAAATTTACAGACTAAAGAGTTATTGAACAAAGTTCCCTATCCTTTTCAACTAAATTAGAATTGAGATATTTTTATTTTAAAAAAATCTCATGAAATAAGAGTGATTTATCTTTACAGGTTTTTTCTTAGCAAATATTAATTGTACCAGATGGGCCTCACTATGACATTTTCATATATGCTCATGTGTATTTGATCATATTATTCTTCTGGAATTTCCTTCTTCATTTCCCTTCCTTTCTGAAGCCTAGATAGTCCCTCTTCTACTTTCATGTTTGCTTATTAACAATAGATTCTTCATTGAAGAGATCACACGCAATGTTTAATCTGAGATCAGCTAGGAAGTCCATTGACAAATAATTGGATAAGATCAAATTTGAATACATGTACAATGGAGTTTTATGTAGCCACAAAAATATTATGTCACTTGCAGGAAAGAAAACAGATAAAAGTGGAGATTATGGAAAGCCAAACAAGCCAACAAATCTGTTGATAGTAGCTAAGTCAATTGAAAATAGTATGTGCTTCATTAATAGTTGGTAAATCAGTGAAATCACATTACATGTGATCTTACTTTTCTAAGTTATTTAAATATTTTTCTTATTTAAGTTATTTAAGTATATTTTTGTCATGACATTTTAGAATATTGCACATCATACTATGAAGCCCTGATATATTGACACTTGGAAAGAATTACTAAGACAAAATAATTAAAAACATAGAAGGATAATTATAAAGATATAACACTTGGTTTAGATATTTTTTCACTTATCAAAAAGAAAACTTTTGTTGGCTGAATTATGTATGGTGAAAGCAAGAACACCAAGATGTATTTAAACAAGTTCTGTGAAGTGCTGGCAGAGTTCATGCACTCTGAGGTCCATCCCTCCAACTCCTGTCTTTCATGACATCATTGTAAGCATTTTTGAACACCCTAGTCCTGCCTTTTTCTCATATAATCAAATATCCAAATGTATACTTAAATTAATACTGACATTTATATGATCACAAACTGCTTAATATAAATGTCCAGAGAAAGCATACCACTACAGTCCTCAAGTTAAATTATCTAGTGGCATATGTATATAGTTACTTAAAGTCAAACTAGAATCTTAACATTAGTTTCTTGTAAAAGTCACAGTTTACTATTATGTTGGATTTATTTTTTTAATTTTTTATGTTGAATTTCTAATCAAGACAAACTGTTCTGTATTTTGATCATTAATATTAAGCCATATTGATCCCAGAATACGAAACTTTGTTAACTATCATGTTTTCTAAGATTCTGATACTTTATTTCTCAATATACAAAATGCATGTAGACCAGACCGAATCTAAATTGCATATAAGAATTCTCCTCCCATGTCATTCTTCTCATAACCAAACTTCAGTGTCCCCCAAACTGATTAATGTAAGAAGTAACATTTAGTGATTATTCTAATTGTTTGTTTTCTTTTTAAAATAATAATTAGTGTATATTATCTTTGCCAATAAATACCGATAAGCTATAATCTTTAATAACTAATAAGATGAGAGATTTGGAGAAATGAAGATAGGAAGGGTAAGTAAAGTGAGAAACATTACCTTCTGTTCAGCATGGTAAGTAGTGAATAAAATTGAGTAACATGCCAAATGCTTTGAATTTTTCTTTTAAGAAATGCAAAGGCAAAACCTATTAGTAGGTGACAGACGTTATCATATATGCCCTTCTTCACTGGTGTTTCTATGACAAAACACCCAGGTATTAAGAACATTTGGGGAGAAAAAGTAATTCTGCTAACAGTTCTAGATTATAGAGCATCTTATCCCAGAAGCTTGAGACAGTGAGTTACATTGTATCATTCAGGAGCAGAGAGAGAAAGAGAACACACATATCCACTTGTTTCAGTCCCTTCTCTATGTCATCCCAGCCCAGGAAACAACCAAGGAAAGGGCATTGCATAATTCAAGGTGTAACTCCCGCTTCAATTAACCCATTTAAGAAAATCTCCCATAGGCTGACCTGATTCAGATAATTCTTCACTGAAACTCTCCTTCTGGGTGATTCTAGTTTGCCTTAGGCAGACACAAAATTTACCACAGTTATATAGATCAGTTTCAGGAAGCACTGAATAGAGGTGTTGATGAGACAAAAGAAAGGAATACGAAGACAATCACAACTTACAGGTTACTCAGCATATTTTATTTTCTGAGTCTAAGGAAAAATATAGAAGAGTTCGAGATATAAGCAAGTAGGTAGTCAGGATTTTGATGCAGGCTACCAAGAATAAGAAGAAAACACTGAATACAGCATTAATTCAATAAAGATTACGTACGGAAAGGCCACTAGGTTGGCAACATGAATAGACATTCGCAAGACAGGAACTGGCAAAAAGGAAAGGCTAGAGACAAATATCACCAAGTTTGAGATATTTTCAGGTCCACAAATAAAAGATCTACTGCTAGAAAGTGGAGATACTGAGCCTTGGCGAGTTCAAACAAAAGAACAGACTGTCTTTCACAGACTTGTTAAAGCTTGATCTGTGGTAGGGAGTCAGCTTTCTCTGTTTGTTGATATGTTCCTTGGCTCACAGTGAAATGTTAGGGGAATAGCAGAATGAATGCTTTGCCTCAACTTCTGGCTGAAATTTGCTCTAAGTTTTACAAGTTATAAAATAGCGCTCAAAGATACGAGGCAGGGGAAAAATTCTAATTCACCCAAAAGAAAATAATTATGGTTTGATTTGAGTGTCACAAAATGAATGAGAAAGAAACCCCACTTATGGCAGGATGACTGGATGAGAGGGACCCTGGTAACCAACTAGAACACTGACACTTCCCCCTCAGGCAGGGGTGTCAGCAAAGGTCAAGATCTTCCGTGTGGCAATGCACATCTAAAGAGATCCTTATTTCCTCTATCCTGGCCCTACTTTCAACCCACTACTCATGATCCGCCACATTCCCACAATGCTCATCCTTCTAGCCACCTAGTCATATCACTCATGGCTTACGCTTAGTTGTGTTAAAAAGAATACATAAACTAAAATGCATCGCTAAGGCAATTATATAGATTTGCGCAAATTGCTCTTGTTTTGTCCACTCCGTCCAATGTAAGAATAAAGGTTTTATCCACTGTAATAACTTACGAGATAGAAATGTCTTTAAATCATTATGACAGAGATTACCTTCTGTTCTCATCTATGTTCTCAAAACACTGGAAAACTATTATATTCAAATTACATCTACACAATTCAAGACATAATCAGAGACATTTTCATTGGAAGAAATATCCAAAATATGAATATAATGGATTAATGGGTAACAGCACCAAGAAATAGAAAACAACACCAAGCAGTAACTACAGGTTGGGCCTTTTGAGAGTAGCAGTAAAATAACATACAAAACAAAAACAAAAACAAAAAAACTAAAAACTAAAATCAGGGAGTAAGCACCTAAAAACTAGACATATCAGCAAGTCCAAAAAGTTTATTCAGTGATAATTTTGCAAGCAAAAAACACTTTATTTATAAATACATGGCAATAAAATGTCAAGCTCAACAAAATAGGCAACCTAGTACTTCAGAAGAGTCAGATTAGAAATTAACTCAGTGAATGTAATTCCCATACAATAATTGATAAAACTAATTTATACCATTTCTTGGCATTTCCTATATGAATCACCAGAAATCTGTGATCACCAATAAAAACACTACAGATAGACACAAAAAATGGCATTTTAAAATAGTTCTACTCACCATGACGAGTGCATGAAATTTGATTTGGACAGTTATCCCAGTAACATTCCTGAAGATCTACGATATAAGAGAGATTGAGCAGGATCGGTACACTGTAATTTAGTCAATCATTTGTAAGTGTATTAATTCCATAACCTTTGATATTTTTATTTTATATTTCTAGAAATATATACTCAAAGTCATGGTACAAGTCAATATGAATATTGCCTACCCCCTGATAGTACTGTATGTCTTACTCACACAGCACAGTTAGGATGGATGAGGAGTTCCCCTCCCACCTGCCTGCCCACAGCCTCAACTACAACCTGCAGGAAGCACACTGTGGACTTAAAAGACATAATTCATTCTGGACACTGACTCAATATTTCCCTTAAACCAAATGAAGAAACCACACCCCCAGGCTCTTCTTTGTTCACAGTACGTTGGAAACTTTCTTCGTGGGAAAGTTGCACTGTAGCATTTCACTGTGATAAGATGAGATCGATATTCTCAGATCTTTTTGATTCCATTTACCATTTGGCCTAATTTATAAGTTTAGCAATTATATCGCTTGTGAGAAGTGTATTTATTTTAAGGTAGCAATTGCCCACGCACTTCAAATATACTTTCTAAGAATTTTAATGAAACCAAAAAAAAATCAATAAATCATCTTTATTTTAAAATAATGCAAACAATGAAACAAGAAAAACTTGTTTGCCTGAACTGTTAACTCGGAGGCAGAACTGTGAGCGGATGCTGATGTTCAGAGCTTCAATTCATTGTCTTTCTATGGATTACTTTTAAATACCTTTATTAAGGCTCTGATATATGTCAAGGATTGAAGTGGACACTGGGGAATCAGTAATGAACAGGATAGATCACCTGACTTCATGAAGCTTAACTCTAATGATCTTAGCTCATTAAAATATTGAATACACTTTTTACCTCAGCTTGATTAATACAGAATAAAATGTAATCAGGTAAAGCTATTGTCAAATCCAGCCATACTGTGAGCCAAGCCTCATTTCCTGTGACTGTCTTTTCCTTAACCTCTGAAGAATATTTGGCTCACAATGTGTTTAGCCTACCAACTGAGTGACTTTGACCTGTAGATGGACATTTTGTTCAAGGATAAAACTTGCAAAATGGAAAGAAACAAATGTTTCTCCCATTGGATGTTTTAAAATTAATCTTTTATTTGATTATTGATTTTTTATTTTAATTTTTATTAATTACACTTTGTTCACTTTGTATCCCCCCATAAACCCCTGCTTCCACCCCTCGTAATTCCACTTCCCTTCCCCCTTCTCCACTTATGTCCCTCCCCAAGTCCACTGATAGGGGAGGTCTTCCTCTCCTTCTTTCTGATCCTAGTCTATCAGGTCTCATCAGGAGTGGCTGCATTGTCATCTTCTGTGGCCTGGTAAGGCTGCTATCCCTGAGGGGGAGGCCCATCAGTTCATGTCAGAGACAGTCCTTGTCCCCATTACTATGGAACCCACTTGGACACTGAACTGCCATGGATTACATCTGTGCAGGGGTTCTAGGTTATCTCCAAGCATGGTAGTTGTTGGAATATGAGTCTCTGGAAAGACCTCAGTGTTCAAATTTTTTGGTTCTGTTGCTCTCCTTGTGGAGCTCCCGTCCTCTCCAGATCTTATTATTTCCCACTTCTTTCATAAGATTCCCTGCACTCTGCCCAACAGTTGGCTATAAGTCTCAGCTTCTGCTTTGAAAGTCTACAGGGCAGAGCCTTTCAGAGGCCTTCTAAGGCAGGCTCCTAACTTGTTTCCTGTTTTTTTTTTTCTTCTTCTTCTGATATCCATCTTCTTTGCTTTTCAGGGTGGGGACTGAGCATTTTAGCCAGAGTCCTCCCTCTAGATTAGTTTCTTTAGGTGTACAGATTTTATTAGGTTTATCCTATATTATATGTCTATATGAGTGAGTATATACTGTGTGTGTCTTTCTGCTTCTGGGATAGCTCACTCTGGATGATCTTTTCCAGATCCCATTTACCTGCAAACTTCATGATTTCCTTGTTTTTTTTTTTTAATTTTTATTTTTTTTTGCTGAGTAATATTCCATTGTGTAGATATACCACAATTTGTGCATCCATTCCTCCACTGAAGGGCATCTGGGCTGTTTCCAGCTTCTGGCTATTTCAAATAAGGCTGCTACAAACATGGTTGAGCAAATGTCCTTATTGTGTACTGGAGAATCTTTTGGATATATGCCTAGGAGTGGTATGGCTGGATCTTGAAGAAGCGCTATTCCTGGTTGTCTGAGAAAGCGCCAGATTGATTTCCAAAATAAATGGCTGTACAAGTTTGGTACCACTTTCTCCACAACCTCTGCAGCATGTGTTGTCACTTGAAGTTTTGATCTTGGCCATTTTGATGGGTGTAAGGTGAAATCTCAGGCTCCTTTTGATTTGCATTTCCCTGATGGCTAATGATGTTGAGCATTTCTTTGAGTGTTTCTCTGCCATTTGATATTACTGTATTGAGAATTTTCTGTTTAGCTCTTTTCCCTGTTTTTTAATTGGATTACTTGATTTGATGCTTTTCAACTTCTTTTTTTTTTTTGCAGTTTTGTTAATAATAATTACAGTTTATTCACTTTGTATTCCCCCATAAGCCCCTCCCTCCTCCCCTCCCAGTCCCCCTCCCTCCCCCTTCTTTGTGCATGCCCCTCCCCAAGTCCACTGATAGGGGAGGTCCTCCTCTCCTTCCTTCTGATCTTAGTCTATCAGATCACATCAGGAATGGCTGCGTGGTCATCTGTGGCCTGCTAAGGCTGTTCTCCCCTCAGGGGGAGGTGATCAAAGAACAGGCCAATCAGATTATGTCAGAGACAGTCCCTCTTCCCATTACTAGGGAGCCCACTTGGACACTACACTGCCATGGACTGCATCTGTGCAGGTATTCTAGGTTATCTCCATGCATGGTACTTGGTTGTTTCTGTAAAGCAAAGGACACCATCATCAAAACAAATCGACTGCCTACGACTGGGAAAGAATCTCCACCAACCCTTTATCTGACAGAGGGTTAATATCCAGTATATATAAAGAACTAAAGAAGCTGAAAAGCAGCAAACCAAGTAATCCAATTAAAAAATGGGGAACAGAGCTAAACAGAGAACTCTCTGTAGAGGAATATCAAATGGCAGAGAAGCACTTAAAGAAATGCTCAATGTCATTAGCCATTAGGGAAATGAAAATCAAAATGACCCTGAGATTTTACCTTATAGCCATCAGAATGGCCAAGATGAAAAACTCAAGTGACAACACATGCTGGAGAGGTTGTGGAGAAAGGGGAACCCTCCTCCATTGCTGGTGGGAATGTAAACTTGTACAACCACTCTAGAAAGCAATCTGGCACTTTCTCAGACAACTAGGAATAACACTTCCTCAAGATCCAGCCATACCACTCCTAGGCATATATCCAAAAGAGGCTCAAGTACACAAAAAGGACATTTGCTCAACCATGTTTGTAGCAGCTTTATTTGAAATAGCCAGAAGCTGGAAACAGCCCAGATGCCCCTCAACTGAAGAATGGATGCAGAAACTGTGGTACATCTATACAATGGAGTATTACTCAGCAATGAAAAATAAGGAAATCATGAAATTTGCAGGTAAATGGTGGGACCTGGAAAGGATCATCCTGAATGAGTTGTCCCAGAAGCAAAAAGACACACATGGTACATACTCACTCATATAAACATACAACATAGGATAAACCCACTAAAATCTGTACATCTAAACAAACTAAGCAAAAGAGAGGACCCTAACTAAAATGTTCAATCCCCATCCTGAAAGGCAAAGAGGATAGACATCAGAAGAAGAAGAAAACAGGAAACAACCTAAGAATCTGCCACAGAGGGCCTCTGAAAGCCTCTGCCCTGCAGACTATCAAAGCAGACACTGAGACTTATGGCCAACTGTTGGGCAAAGTGCAGGGATTCTTATGTAAGAAGTGGGAAATATTAAGATCTGGAGAGGGCAGAAACCCCTCAAGGAGAACAACAGAACCAGAAAATTTGAACACCAGGGGTCCTCCCAGAGACTCATACTCCAACCAAATACCATGATTATTGATTTTTATTTGATTACTAATCTAAATATTGATCAACTTCCAAGCTCAGTGTGGAGTTGAAAATGTGGTGCAGAAATTAAAGGTTCCATGTGTACACCAGAGTACCACGAGCAAGATCCAAGTAAAGCCCTTAGACCCATCCTTCAGATTCAGTCTTATCTCCTATTCTGCGCTAGCCTGAGTTCAATGTCCTGTTTATGGTTCATATTACAGAAGAGTTACATAATTCAAAATACAAAGATTATGCTTCCAGATAGCTAAAATATATACCTTGATCCAATCTCACACCTCTTACTGGTATATATAATTGTACACTGGTGTATATATAAGTACATTAAGCTTAGATATATTATCTTAGTAACTTTTAAAAAATCAAATTGGCATGAGTTTCACATATTACAATTGCAGTGTTTTCTGCACCATAAGATTATTAGCTGAAATATGAAAAACCAAGAGCCCAAAATAATATCCTAAAAATATGACACTATTTTCAATTTCAGCCTCAATTACAGTTCTTTCTAAAATTATAGCAAGTTACAGAAATGCATGTGGATGGTTTCTCAAATGTTAAATGTTCTATGGTAGGGGTCTCTGTGTCAGTCTGTGGAAGGAGTAGCATGTCTCTCCTTACAACTTTAAGTGCCTTATTACTCATCCTGATGAACTACTGGCTCTGGAGGGATTCTGGTGAAGGAGTCATTGTCTACCCCAGGTAAAACTCAAGTGTGTAATAAAACAAACACAAACTCCTGAATATAGGAAAGAGAATGTAGTTTAAGGAAGCAGATGATTTTGCAGGAGATGAAAGCGCTCAGAGTGCATAACATAATCTATGATCTGTAAAATAACAAATTAATAAAAACAGTTGTTAATTTTTTCTCACAGGTAAATATTGAACAGCCTCTACTTCTGCCCCTGGTTAGCCTGCTTCACCACACTTTTCCTTCTATGACAGACTGAAACTTTTGAAAAATATTAGACAAT